ACACCACTTTCAAGTAAAACGTCATGAAGTTTTTGAGCCAAGTTAGGATTCTCCTTAGCAGCATCAATCATGTATTGGGAAACATCTTTGACTTTCATTCTACGTGCTGCAGGGGAACTGATGCCCTCAGTCCAAGAAGGAGATCGTCCATGCGTGTATGGATAGTTAGTTCTTCCGGAAGAATCCTTCACTCTGATCTTCTCTGCATAGGGGGTACTTTTGGATTCATTTGATGGTTTCTTTAAATCTTCCTTGCCTGTAGCAAACTCACTCAAACCAGATTCTTTCCCTCCACAGTCTGAAGTTTCTTCAGATGAACTTCCAACCCCGCTACTTAATGATGCTTCATTGGACGAATCTAGCTCTCTTGATGAAGGACTGGCCATAAATGAAGATCCATCGCATTCAATGTGTGATGCAGTAGCATCAGATGGAATAAGTGCTCCAGGAGCTGCCATTAGGTCCACAATGTACTCCCTGAAATTCATATCAGTCATAACTTTTAGATACATGATAGCAAGGCTTTGCAACTTCTACTTAAGGAAGTTACAAAAAGAATAAGAGAACATTCAGCTCTAGGCAATATTAAAGGATTTATTGAAAACCTGACATGAACAAACAAGACTATTAAATAGTATTAGTAATAGTAATATAACACATTTTCAAGTTAGGAACAATATATGACAAAGGAAACATTATGAAACAAGATTTCATGCCCATTCCACTGAAATTTAGCATTGCCATTCAAGACAGGTAAAACTGTTGTACTTGGGTATAGAAACCTTGTTTCAATGACCATGACTCATTAGGGTCTAGAGAGGATAGACAGTTGTAAGCAGTCTTACCTTACCTCAGAGAACTATATATTAACAAATAATGCTGCTCACTTGTCTATACCACAAAATCCAACTTTTAGAGTGCTTACCTTCCATCATCAATCTTGACAAAGTTCATTGCCACATCATCAGAACCCATATACTGCAGTCCTTTCACCAATCGACACGGTATGCCCAAACTGTCTGCTAAAACCTACATTTAGTAAGATAAATATAATTTTATTAGATGAATCATGGAAGCTTCTAGAAGAGTATAACAAAAATTTCATAGCAAATAGCGTTTCTTACTGCTCATTGAAATAATATTTTTTGGATTAAATCTAACCATAACCAATGTTACTATAGGCTTACTCTGCCAGACCATTCTTCATTGAATGTAAACCTGAAAGAAGAATATTTGTAAAAGCACCTTGAATAACAATGCTCGATGCCGAGCCAATCCAATGGTCAGTGAACCAAGAGGCAAAACCATGCTGCCAAGGGTGGCTTTTAGACTGTAACTAAGACTCCTCCAGGCTCTAGACATGCTTTCAGGATCTTTAACTGATCCACCCATATAGTCAGCTACCATTATTGCAAGCTTGTGTACCAAATTGCTATTTACAACTACTTCAAAATCTTTTCCTGAACTGGCAGCCATCTTCATGGCTTCTTGTTCAAGTTTCAACAAGTTGGAATCAGCAGCCCTATTGACCAAGACTGCTTCCCATGTGACATCAATTGAGGTTGATTTTCCTTGCAGATCTACTAGAGAAGGCATTCTTGCAGAGGTTGTCTCAGTCAAGATTCCATACAGATCATAGAAACCATCTGAGATCTTGTCATCATAACCAAGAGCATTGTAATTCTGTGAAGCACGGATAAATCTACGATATGAGATAAGTCAGAAAGGAATATAAAGTAGGACATATTACAGTTAAGTGATTAAGTGGCATAAAGAAAGAAGTTAGCTTTCATCAGTTCATGCATCGACATCCTGATCAATTCAGCATCATTAACTCTAAAATTACTATCCCAAGATGTCAGCAAACCATTACTAATATAAATCGTTTGATGCCAGGAAATATGTCGTATAAGTCACAATTGAGATTTCTTATTGCATCTCAAGCACAACTTGATTATCCTTTTTCAATGTATATGATATGGATGAAATAGTAACCATTATAAAACTCCAACTTCTAAGAGCAAATATGCTGAGTGATATTGGAAGCTCCAGCCCTACGGCACTGTTCAGAGTGCTATTGATATATTTAATGATGGAAAAATTCTTCCAACAATCATGAGTTGTTATCTTAGTCATCTCATACAGATAAGAACGTTTAAAGACAAAAAACAAGTGAGGTCAAATGCAATATAAAGAGTCACAGATCCTTTGCTTTCAAAATACCACCACCCCACCCCACACCACACACACACCTCCCTTTCTTCAGGCTTTATATCACAATTCCATGATTCAAGTTATGAAAATGAAGCAACATCTCTGAATTGCAAATCTCGGTTTGTAATAGATGATACTTTTGCTCTTGTGGCACCCTCATAAGTACAACTAGAAGAATGTGACATTGGCCTTGAAGTTAATGGACTAACAAAATGACTTACCCAGTACCGGTAGGCCACAACTTCAGCTGGTGTATTATCAGGGTCACAAGATCCCAAACTGATCTGCTTAACAGCTTCAATCTGTACAGCCTCAGGATCCTCTTTTGCACTCAGCTCCAAAGCCAGTTGTATCTGATATTCCTCTTCCACTTCAGGATCCCTAGACGCGCTAGACTCCGAATCACGCCTTGCTGAATCAGACACAACATCCAAACCACCACTGCTCACTGAATCAGATGGGTCCATTCTTTCTCCTCTGGCAAGATTAGGAGACGGAGGACTGGGACTCTGCCTATTAGAAACTGAATGCAACCAATTCGAAAGCTTCTTAGGGGTAGTGGAAGATGAACCGTCACTGGACTTGGTGCTCTTTGATGAAGTAGCCCCCTGTGCATCATCCGATTGGTTAGACATGATATGAAGCTTCTTAAGAATGTTCTTCATATCTATTCCCTAGAGTACTGAATACTAAAGAAGTGGAAACCTCTCCATTTCGTTCTTCGACCAAGCATGAATCTCTCTGATTCGAAGTATGGTCTCCGGTATCTAGAAAACTATCCAAAGAACCCCTTTTTGTGAAACAGCTCCCGAACCAAGACAATCAAATCCAAACAACAGTCCCCAAGCAACAGGCCTTGCAAGCTTCCAAGTGAGGCGATCCAGATGGTTTAATTGAGCTGGAGCAGTCTCCTATTTAGCAGACAAGACTAAAATATTCCAAAAGAAACACAAACAGATGTTTGATACCATTCACCACCTTTAGGAAGCAGGGAAACCAAAATCACTTAGCCCCTATATGGAGAAAGAATGGATCTTTGTTTCTGTTTGTGGAAGGAATAAGAGCACAAAAATGGAAGAGACAAGAGGGTCGCGAAGACAACATTAAAGGGCAGAGGCTAAGACAGCAGAGACTAGGAGCAAGTGGGAGAAGGTAGGGGCCACAAAGCATGACCCACTTGAGAAGATAGAGGGTCACAAGTACTTCACAGTCCCAGAGAGAAAATTAAAGGGAAACTCGGTGGTGGGACTGGGAAACAAACACACACAAACAACAAATTTGCTTTCTTTTGTTCTTCCTCCTCCTCCTCCTTATCTCTGTGTGTTTGTGTGTTTAGTGGAGCCCCAAATGAAAGTGGTGATGGTGGTGGCATGAGTTGGGTGCTTGTGGTGAACTACTCAGAATTGGCATACAGAATGAACAAGTTGGAAAATAAAAATGGTTGCTTTGAGTCTTCAACTTTTGCTATTTCAAGCAAACCCAATCTTTGTCCTTAGTGATATGCAAGTATAGGACAAAGGGCATTTCATTGAAGTGGAAGTGGCTAAAAAACTCACTTTCATGTGCACCCTCATCTCATCTCATCTCTTCTACTTGAGTAGCCCGCACTCTGCTCCCACCTTTTCAATGCTCTCTTCAATTCTGTTCGGTTCTATGCTACTCGCGGATAACGGTACCCATTATTACCCCTTTCCTTTTTCCTTTTTCAACTAAATCTAGTGTGTGCTACACTCCTAGTGCTTCCAACACAGTATTACACCATAAAAAATTCCATCCCACCATTCTCCATAATTTATACATGGTGGAGAGTCTACTAGACTTCGTACTACATTTCACCTTTACCTATTAGCCTCCACCATTTCTACTTTTCCACAATATCATTTCTCATTTCCTTTTCTCGTTACTCTTCTTCTTCTCCAATCATTCACCAACTCACTGTACACATCGCTTCACTTTATTACTGTCCATGGAGGGCACTTGTAACATCTATATTTCAAATCTCATCAAATATTAAACATGTTTTAACACAACCTTGTCTCACATGTCCCGTTAAATTTAACCTCTTTAGTCAATTTTACTTCCTTAAATCCTTAGTTGTCAGGTTTCTTTCACAAAATGAAATGCTGATAAAGCAGTGATGCATTACCCTCTCTCTCTCTTTTCGTACGTAACGGTGATACGCATTCAGTTTAGCCCTTTCGAAAATTAAAATTCCTCTACTTAAAAAAAGTTAGCTTTTTTACGAGATTCATTTGGTTTTTTAAGAAATCAGATTATGTGGTTTTATTTAACATTTTTTTTAAGAAAAAATTCCCTGTTAAAACACGTCTAGGATTCTTCATAAAATTATAAAATAGGGCAACTTAAATACATTAATTTTACTTCCAAATAAATTATTAATTTTAAATCTGTATATAACAACATGCTTAAACACTTATATAGACTGACAGCATATAATTTAAAAACAATGCAGTATAATTTATTAGTGTATTTTTTTTATGTTTTATCCGAAACTCTTTTATTGTATAAAATTACTATTGTGAAGTGTAATTATAGGTGTTTATTTATTATTGTGAGTTTTATTAATACTAAAATAAACATCAGTCTTAAGCATTGCTATAAATAACTGCAAAATTATAATTTTTTTAAAAGTACTTATTACTGTAATTACCAGAAATAAAATAATGAAAGAGAAGAAGAGGTATTGACTAATTAGTTTTGGTTGGTAAAAATAGCGGTGTTGACCATACAGTCGGTTTGATTGAGTTTTGAAAACAACAATATTTAATTTCATAAAGAAAATACAATTTGATTTGAATATTGGAAAAACGAAATTTGATATAGTAATTTAAAATAACTTTGATTTATATTAGATTAAATTAATTTTAACGTATATGTATATAACTTTGGTTTATATTAGATTAAATCAATTTGGAAATTATATCTGAAATTAAATTGAATTAAATATTTTTCATTCAATTTTTTCTTGAATTTTGACATTCAATTGGAGTGATCTATTATAAATAAAGATAATAATATTTTGATAATATTTTTTCATAATATTTTAATATTATCTACGTGTTATTTTATGATTGATTTACGTTAGTATTTATGATTTATTATTTTTATAATAGAATAATTTTAGATTATAAAATGATACATAAATAATTTTAAAATATTGTGAAAAAATTGATTAAAGTTTCATTATCTATATATAAATAAATAAATAAATACATTAGAGATAAAGAAGGAAAACTGAAGAAAAAGTGACGTGAGCTGTTACTCTGCAATACAACACTTATTGCTGTTTTATTAATGACCACTAATTTTATTGGCCACAAATTTCTTAGATGCATAACCCTAAAGTCGTTGCCCATGAACAACAGTGACTTATGAGTAAATGATAACGGTTGTTTATATTTATTTAAATTTTATTTTCTAATAATAGACATATTAAATAATATAGTTTAATAAAAAAAATTTAAACTTCTTCGTTAAAAATTAATTTAAACATATATTTTTTTAGATTATATGAGTTATTATTTATTATTTTATTATTATTTATTATATTGTTATTCTATTTTTTAAATAAGTATTATTTCAATATAACAGGTGCTCGTATTTATATTAATTTTATAAATATAATTAATATATTTACTTCATAAATATTTACTCTCATCTTATTTAAAAAAATTAATATTTTACTAATTTGAATATTAAAAAATATTCTACAAAAAAATTTCTTCTCTCAACAATTATTAAATAAATCTGTGTAAACAATTCAAATTCCGGATAAAATAAATTTATCTGATAGTTTAAATTACAATCTAATATATTTATAAATATCTTAAAATAGTACTTTTGAAAAAACGGATAATTTCTCAAAGATTAAACAGATATTTTTTTTCTAACATATTAAAAATTAGTTTTATTTGTAAGTAACACACTGACAAATTTATGAAATTTATAAAAATTAGAAATTAGATTATTATATTTTATGTTTGGGATTAAATACCAAAATCTTGGAAGGGTGGAAAGTGGGTGACGTGGCTATTTCGTTCTCGCGGTGCCCTAATTAACAGGACATTCTCGTCATCCTTTCTGTCAAACTACTTTTAAAATAGAACTTTCTGGAATCCAATTTAAATTAATCAACTTTTTAATTCTTGAAAAAATGACAAATTAATTTAAGATACAAAAATAATTATATAAAATAATTTATTTCTAATACAAATATAAGGGTAAGAGTTTTTAGTTTGTACATAAAATTCTTCATCTAATTTATATAAAAGTGAGTTAGTTTGGGTTCTATCAAATTATAAATAAAATTCAACCTAATTCGATTAGATTAAATTATGAGTAACCCAATCCAATTAACATCCCTAAATTTTGGTTAAATTTGTCCTAAATTCAAAGAAAAACATTTGGTAATATACTGAAACTTTTTACAACAAAAGGTTTTTATCACAAATTTTTTAAAATAAAAAAAAATCAAATATAAAATATGATTAGAAAGTATTTAAAAGTGTTTTTCTAATTAAGAAATTTAATTATCGATTAACATGTATCGTTAAACGTGTATTAGTAAGTTTTTAAGATATTGCTAAACTATATATTAACTTTGTTTTGTTAAGTTTTATGATTTATTATGATTTGTTGTTTGTATATTTGAAGAGATATATAGTCAATATTTCACATTTGATTTAAACTTAGTTTTTATTGTCATTATGTTGAATTAAAGAACAATGATTTTGACTGGTTAAACTAACATTACTTGTTTATTATAGTTGAGTGGACTGATTAACTAGTTGAAATGCAATTAATTCAATATCAAGCAATATAGTTACTATAAAAATAGGATATGACGTTGGAGAAAAATGTAGAAGTTTCTTATAGAAGAAATTAATAAAGTAGAAGAATTCCATTGGATTTGTTCAAAGTGACATGACTCGGTGCAAATCAAAAATCGTAAAATTGAATAAATAATAAATAAAAAAAGAAAGAGATAAGAACATTAATGAAAAAGGTAAAGCAATGATATGATAATAAATGCTTAAAGGACGATAATTATAAAAACAAGAGAAATGATAATGGCAAGGGCGGCGCTTTTTGTCCTTAACTACTAACCCTTTTCATTATTCTCATCAATTATTCTAATTTTACTTCACTATGTCTATGGTTGTTTATTTTTTTCTATTTGTTCTATATGCATTAAATATATTATTGTTTTTTAATTCTTTACTTCATTTTATTTCTATAAACGATCAAAATATTATTTTGAAGTAAATTTAAAATTTAATTTCATTTTATAAAATTAATTTGGAAAATAAAGTTTTTATTATAAAAACTTTAATTTATCTTTTAGTTAATATAGATTTCTAACATATTTTTATTACATTGAAATATATATACCATATTAAACATTAAATGATTTGATAACAGTCAACAATAAATAACATAATCATCCATTAATTTCATGCAGTAAATTAACGAACGTTCATACTAGGCACACCACATGAATTAAATCAAATAAGCTTTCCTTACCTGGAAATGAACGAACGTTCACAGACGCACACAGACGCTCTCCACTCAATTCCTTATCACCAATGCTCGTTAATCCACTATTCAGACGAACCCCAATACCAAAAATCAAAACCACTCCACTCTAAGAAAATAACGAACGTACAACTCAGAATTGATTTTGCATACGCGGAAAACGAACGTCCAGAGAGTGGGAAAAGGCTTACCAGCTCAGTCTGAAACGAACGGCTTTTCGGGAAGCCTTGGATGACGTTCGTCCTTCCTCTGCCGGATCCCAGAATTGGAGGAGATGAAACGGTGGTTCCTTAGAGAGAAGGTGCAGCGAACGTAGAGAGAAGCAAGAGGGAATTCAGAAACGAAAATGGTGCAGCGTGTGGAGGGTGGAGGATTTATCAGAGTCTTTCCACCTCGCCAGCGTGCGTTCACACTGCCAGCGCGCGTTCCCATTGCCAGTGCGCGTTCCCATTGCCAGCGTGCGTTCACACTGCCAGCGCGCGTTCCCATTGCCAGCGTGCGTTCCCACTGCCAGCGTGCGTCGCTGAGGTGGCGCGCTCGAGGCTCGCCACGTCATCATTTTTTTTTTTTTCTGAAACCTCACAACCACGAATGGAGAGTGGTGTGTGGTGATCGTGGACCTTGGTTGTTACCATTAGAAGAAGGTGAAGATGCGTTGAAGATGGGCAACAAAAGGTTGAAGCACGAAGAGCAGATGAAGATGGAAAAGCAAAGGTTGAAGACGAAGATTGAAGATTCGGTTCCAGACACTGTATCTGATTCCATTTATCAGAAAAAAATTTGGAATGAGTGTATTCGGTTACGGGGACTGCGTATTCGGTTACGCTGCAAATTTATAGGAATGGTGGATGGTGTATTCAGTTCTTGGAGGTTGTATTCGGTTACAGGTTTTTGGGTGAGCGTGGTCTAGAGGCGGATTTGGTTACGAGCTGTGTTATTGTGCAACACCAAGTTTGATCGTTCTTCCATGCTTCGTCCATTGGGTGATCTGATATATAACATGGTTGATGTTGAGTCCTCTGGTCAGAACCTTGATTGACATCTAGAGGTCCATGAAGCAGTGCATGCAGGAGGCGGAGAATTGATCCGGCCATGGCAGTGGAAGGAGTTCGTTGTAAGTCATCACCTCTAACGTTTTCATTGTGTTGCAAGTTTTACGAAGCAAAACTGGGGGCTTGGTTAGCTGGTGAAGTTGTTGAAGACGAATGTGGTCGCTGGTGGAGCTGTTCTCAAAGAAGACAACGATGTTAAGGTGGTGGACGTTGATGAGGTCACCATGAACGTTGTTGTTTCTGAAAAATGATATAACAAGCGATTATAATGTTGCAGGTTATGACGTGCAGTGGAGTTGGAGATTGAGAG